ATGATACATAGTTGTCCATCACAATAAAATTAATTTTTTTCAAAGAAAAAAACTTCAATTACTTGACATTGAGAAAATATTTGACAGAAAATTGAAGAGAAAGAAACATTGAAGACAAAAAGGATAAAATCTTATTTTTAATTAATTTTAACTAATTTAAGTGAATTAAGAATATTTAATATTCTTAATTAGTTTGTATCCCTTAATTTGTGCTTATTATTAATTATTTATACTCAATTCAAATTAAATTAATACTAACTTGAAGGATCTCATCTTTCACCATGTTTAATTAATAATGATACATAGTTGTCCATCACAATAAAAATGTTTTTTTCTATTTTTCTTTTTTATATTTTTATTTTTTAAAATAAATGTTTTCAATTATTAAAAATAAAATTTTAAAATAAATTTTTAGAACTTGAAATATTTAATGTTATAACTTGAAAATCTAAATCTATTGATATAACTTGGAAATATTAATATAATGTATGTCATATATGAAATTTTCACTTCTAAAATACGTCAAAAATATTATTATTGTTATAAACATATTTGTATTATAGTGAATGTTTAATTATGTGGAGTCCTTTTAGGGTATAGTGAGGAATCCTACTTGGGGACCAAGTTAGGCTTCCTTTATAAATAAAGGGGTTGTCCTTCATTGTAAATAAGATTCATGAATCCTGAATATACCTCAAAATGAGTAAGAAGTCTTTTCTCTTATCTCTACTTTACTCTTCTTCTTGTTTATATAGTTTCATAACATGTTATCAGCACGACTGGTCTACCCATTAATAATTATGGAGTGCTTCGTTATATTAAGAAGTACGAGAATAAAATTTTAGCTCCAACTCCAATATGACGTGAAAACATCAAAAGAATGTGGAAAATTATTGGCAAAAAATAGATATGACCAATACATGTAAATTCGATCATAAAAGGTACATGTTTTATTTGACTACATTTATGATTGTAATGTTGATTATATGTATTTTATATATGATCAGTTGTAACAAAATTTGTTGGCAATTTAAAGTGGTGATATTTTAAAAGGTTCGATGGTGAATCTTGATGTATTTTGACATAATATGTCATTGATTGTTGGGTAAGACGATGTATCTATGTCCAATCACATCAAAAGGGTAAGACAGTGAATTTACATCCAATCGCACCAAGAGAGTAAGACATTGGGTTAAAGTCTTGGTGCACCATGATGAAAATATATTGGTTTCAAGACCCATCGATTTATGGTCTAAGACACTTTTATATGAATAAGAAATTGGATTTGAGTCTTAATGCACCATATTGATGATATAATGATAACTAAAGAAAAACTAATGTGTTTTTTATGAGAAGACATGAATTTACTCAATTTGATCCATTACTTAAAGTGAATGTGGTAGTATATGTTCGAAAGAAGACAAGTTATTAAATAATGCACATGAATATAGAATGAGGCACTAAAACTATCATAAGATGATACACTCATATGATTGTGTTCCATTCATGAAGAATGAGATCTTTTTTTATTAAAAATATGTTTATCACTTTTGATAAATGCTAAAAATATAGATCCATTTTCTAAAGGAAATGAGATGTAAATCAGCATGTTAGGTGATACGCTCAAACTTACTTCTCAAATAAGAAGTAAAGCGGTCGTGTCAAGTAAATAACCCAACTAGTGAGGTTGGGATCGTTCCCGCGAGGAAAATAGTCTAGACTTAACTTCAATCTATTATTACTATTGTTCAGTCAATGACTTCCTTGGAAAGTAAAAACAATAAAAGGGGGGTTTCTATTTCTAAATGAATGAAAATAACTAACGTAATTGAAAGAGACACTTAACAACTTTGAATGTTGGATTTTAATCAATTAATCAAAGTAACTAGGGTTTACGTGTTCCCCACAGGTTCATAACTTGATAATTCTAACTATAACAATTCTTTCCTAGTATCTTGCATGTAAAGTGATAAGTTATGTATTTCTAAAACCTTGGTCCGGCATCTAGAAAATCTCACTCCGCACCTTGGTCCGGCTACGTGTATTGCTATCCTAACCCTTATCTTTACCTCATGTTAAGCATCGTATTTGATATTTGACTAAGTTATTACCTCGTACCAATCAATACTAGCCTATTAGATAGTATACAATAAATCTATGTTGATAATTCTTTTCCTATTATCTACCTCCTTGGTCCGGCAAGTAGCATTAAGGTGAGTTCTAACGTTGGCCATCCGTTAAAAGGACTTCTAAGCAAAATAATTATTAATACATGCAAGACACTATTCTAGAATCGTTATTTTAGTTAGGTTTTATCTCATTATTTGCCTATGGTTCCCACAACCCTAGTTATGGAGTTTAGTTACTCGTAGTCATAATCACAATATTCAAATATATTAAATAAGAATTCATGTACTTACTTCAATGAGAAAGAGTAAAATCCGAAAGTTTGCTTGATTAATCACCAATAATCACTTGCAAGAATCTCAAAGTAATCAACAATCTCACAAAAAGTCTAATGATTCTCAAAAGTCTAACAATACAGTGTCTACTAATATAATGTCTAACAATACGGAGTCTAACAATACGGAGTCTAACCTCAAAAATGAGGGTTTTCGAACTATTTATAAAAAATAAAAACCTAATTAAACAAGGACTCTATTTGCTGGAAATCTGCCAAAACGCGGCTGGGTCGACAGACCTCGCGACGGATCGTCGTGGTCACGACAGAACGTCATGGACTCCGTCGTCCCATTCTTATGCAATTTCTTCTGTTGCTCTCTTCATTACCCTTGACGGCAAGTATGACAGACCGTCATAGGCACAACGGTCCGTCGAGGGTCTTCGTTCCAAAACACTTCAACTCTTGGGATATGGGTACTGGGATTACTTCTCTGAACTTCATGACGAACCTGCTGGACGGACCGTCATAGACACAACGGACCGTCACAAGCTTCGTAACTCCAAACTTGGTCAGACTTCCCCATCTTCCTTCAGCAGCTGCACTACGCTGCCACCTACGGACCGTCACAAGCACGACGGACCATCATAAGCTCCGTAGTTGGTCTCTTCTGCATTTCTTCGCTCAAAATCTCCGCATTCATTTTTGGACAGATTTCCTGCAAAATAAAGAGAAACTTATATAAAAATTAGCACAAAAAGGCTTTTGGACACACTAAACTTAAGGAAAAAGTATTAATAATACCGTAAAACCATGGTATATCATTAGGCGTGAGAAAGACTGCGACCTTTGATCAATGATGTGGTATCACCCAGAATGTCTCTAACAAAGACATATATTATAGAAAAGTTTCATGATTTATCTTTTGGCTTGTATTGGACAAGAATTAATGCAATTGAGTCACATTCTAAGAAGTTTACTAATTCCAACATTTTTAGTTTGGTATGACTATTTGGGACATCATTAGTCTATAATGTTTAGATGAATTATCAAAAATTAAAATGGACATTCGTTAAAGAACCTAAAAATTCTTTTAAATTATGAATTTTCTTGTACTGCTTTTTAGCAAGGCAAGCTAATTGTGAGACCATCATAAACTAAAGTTGAGATTGAATCCCCTACTTTCTAGGAATGAATACAGATATTTGTGGACCTATTCATCCACCTAGTGGATTATTTAGATACTTAATGGTTCTAATAGATATTTTTTCTAGATGGTCTTATGTGTGTCTATTGTTATCTCGCAACTTGATGTTTGTACAAATGTAAGCACAAATAATATGATTACCTGCATAATTTTTTGATAATCAAATTAGTCCATTTAGTGATGGGATCATGTCACGCCCAAGCTACCCCGAGATGCAGACACGGGACCTAAGACTACAAGTGATCCCAAGTTAATGTTGGTAGCATGATCATGAGCATACTAAAGATAGTAAAATGATGCGGAAACTAAATCATAATTAAAATGAAAAGATGGAGAATACTCATATACTAACTGAGATATATGAAAACTGATGAGTTTAACACAAAGAAGATATTAATTCAATAGTAAGTTGAAACTAACTATGTTTGAAAATAATCTCTAACGGAGTAGAAATGTTGGGATAGGCCTAGCTAAGTCTAGCAAATTTGAAAGTTAAGGATTAAAAATACTGAAAAGAAATTCATGACTATTGTCCTCGGAGAATGAGGTCTCACCACTGATTTTGTTGAATTGATGATTGAGTACTTGAACCTACATCATGAGAAAATAGATTAAAGTTGAAATAATACATAACTGAATAAGAACAAAATCAAATGTAATATTTTGAACATGATATACTAAATGTTGAGCTAACTGGGTGCAATGAACAAATTTATAACATGTTGAGACTTAATATTGACTAAACTGTAAATTTGGTCAATGCAATAGAGTCTAACTGAACTATGAGAGCTACTAAGAACCAATGATAAAAACACATGAGATAAATGTGGAGTCCGACTGTATACGCCTCACCGAAATGACCCAGTATACCTACAAAAGGTATAAAGGCATGCTGACATAATCACTTAATTGATGTCCACAGAGGTAAGTTACAACCTACTTGGTTAGTAGTGTTTTTAACAGAAAAGGAAAATATATTTTTATAAAGTTTTAGACTTTTTAGAGTCGTCACTTAATTTTTAAAGAAAAATCAAGAAAACTTGGTTTTCAAAAGACTTAAATGGGAAACCAAGTGAAAACTTTAAAGGGGGTTCGGGGATTCCTATTAACTTCTTAGGAAGGTTTTGAAAGAACCTAAGACGTCCGCTTACTTCTGGTTATCCGACAACGAACTTGTTTGGCTAAAAATTGTTTAACTTATTTTTTGAATTGAAAATCTACTTAGTATTTGGTAAAAAAGTGTAATACTAGCCTATACTATTTAACTCGCAAAATTTATTTAATTCATTTCTTTTTTAAGTCTTTCAAAGTCGATCGATTTAATTTAAATCATTAGAACATAGTGGCGCCTTGCAAGGATTTGCAAATCTCTAACCTTAAAACTAGCGGCAATCAACCAACAAACTAAATATACGTGAAAGGAAAAATAGAGAGAGAGAGTTGGGTCCGAATCCGGTTTCTGTCTGCCTGGACCTATATTTGGATCCATTTGGCCTTTTGGAGGCCATTTCTTTTTGTACCTGTCCTAAACTAGTTATACAATAATAAGCAATAAATACGGAAAATAAAAGACGACAAGGGCTTAAGCCCAAAGATAACAAGATGCAAAATAAGTATAAAAAAATATTGGGACGCCTCAATTTCTTGTTTTTTCAGCTTCATGTCGGCTTCCCTTCCTACTTCAAGACATGTACGCCGGCTTGGGATTAACTCAAAACTAGGAATTTAAGCCTTTACGACTCTCTCGAAATGCAAGGGAAAGGGTAAGAGTTCATAATGAACTCAAACGGATTTCACATGCAAACAAAATGGGAGTAAAGATTAGTATCCAAAAAAATAGCAAAAAAGACACTTAGATAAAAATAAACTACACATAGATAAAAATAAACTAAGTTGAACTTAAATAACAGGTCCTAGACGAAGAGATACAAACTCAAATGAGACTAAATCCAAGGCACACTGATAATGAAATAATGGTCATTGGGGCCATTATTCCAACACTTAAAATCCACAACAAATAAATGTCATGTAAATTGGATGCTATTAAATAATGCCAACAATTAAAGTAATATTAGATAAAATTGGTAAGGTAGCAAATCTGTAACTAAAGTTGATATTTAAATACATTTCATAATTATTGAGTAGGGGACACATAGAAACGAAATATCTATTCAGACATTTAAGATGATACAATAACACATTTGATGAAGCGGTGTTAAACTTCAAGCCTGGTCATACAACAAATATACTTATCAATCCACAGAAAACTGCATATGCGAAAGGAACACTATTTTTGGAACAACGGGGGTTAGACAAACCGATCATGAATCTGCAATGCACCAAAATTTCAAATTGGACTATAAACATATTATATTAACTAAAAAAACGTATTTAAGCGATAACCAAAACTAGAAAATCTAAAGGAACTAAAAGAAGGAAATAGTAGCCTACAGGGGACAGAAGTGAATCTCTTCAGGCTCCAATGAGTTAGAAAAAGTAGTTTAAGCAAACGAAATATCCTTAGAAGAGGCAAAAGTAAAGGGTCGTAAATAATTAAATAAGTCAGTTCTATCGCCACACTAGCATGCTGGACACAAGCACAAATAGACATAAATACAATACACAAGGAGAAACGCATAGTCTAGTAACAACAAAAAAGAGCAAAAAATTGAAAGAAAGAAAAGAAAAAAAAGGCTAAGCTGAATAATGATTTACTCACAAAGGACGCTGTAGTTTAGACGAAAATGAAAGGGAGTTTTTTGGAAAACGAAAATAAGAGAAACTCGATTAAATCAATACATTATAAGGACGGAGCTATATTATCACGAGTGAAAGTCAAAGAGAAGAGGATATCAACCCAACTAGACGAGGATAGAGACCAGATACGCTTATTTCCCAAATTTGAACTAATGTTAACAAGAAACCTTCAAAACAAGGTTACCGAGGCAGATAGCCCAAACTATAGTCATATTCTTACTACACTTGAGAAAAGCTAAACCAAACAACATCTCAACACTTCACATACACACAACTATAGATCAACATGAAACTTACGACCAAAGAACAAATCACCAAAGCATGAACTCTTCAGGGAACTTTCAAATTCAAACAAAGAAGGATCTTTGATGAAATCTACAACAGAACAAAATAATACCAAAACCCAGGTAAAGAAGCTAAGTCCACATTCCGTTTGACAAGTGATCATATCCCAACACGAGTATGAGATGCCAATTTAGGGGAAGAAGGACCACGTAGAAATCTCTAAGAAACAACAAAATGAAAATTCATACACTGCAACAAACTTGACAATCCTGAGCATACTAATCAAAAGTAAACTCAGTAACAAATCATATAACAAACAAACTCCACATTAATTAATTTATGGATTATACTCCTATTTTGAAAAGAAAGTGACATTAACAGATCAAGTAGAAACGAAGCTTGCCCCATCCATCCAAGTCGATGTTGAGGCCACCAAATAATCGAGACAAAGTCAATAAACACAAATCAACCAAAAGAAGAGTTTGAAGATTCGTAAAGTTTTCAACCTAGTTTACTAGAAAGCAATTCATTTTTAAAAAAAAAATTGGACGACTAGAACGCATAAAAAAAGACAACCTTTTTGCAAACGAAAATCACGAATTAACATGAACGGGACCCTTTTCGTAAGGAGAAGATGTACCAACAACCCATTTCATTTTTCATACTAAATAAAGCACAAAATGAAAGATCAAGAATCCAAAGTGTGTTTACTTTGTGGTGTGCAACGAGGCAGGGACGGAACCAGCTTAAGGCGACGATATTCTCACTAGCGTACTAAAACTCAAGTATCCAATGAAAGAACAAAATTCGGCTGGAAGTTCAGACTCAAAGCACAGAAATCCGAACGCTTCTGCTCACAAACGTATTTAGAGTATTTTTTGACTTACCTAGTGCTTTCCTGGAAATCCCTCCCAAGCTTACAACTAAGAAAATAGAAATATTTCTTCTTAATTTTCCACTAAAAGTAAATCTCTCCCTTGAAATTTTCTGGAAAAAATCTCTTCCCCCCTTTTCTTCAAGAAGAAGAAAACCAAAAATCACCCCCCCAAATTATATATATATATATATATATATATATATATATATATATATATAGGATCTATTTACGGTTCCAAACTTGGGGGAAAATGGATAAAAACTGGATCAGCCCTAGGTCCATTTCGAATTAAAAATCCTCAGCCTTATCCCAAAAATCGAATATCCTTCTATTCCATATGATCGAATGAACTTGAGGTAAGACAGAAACACGAGATCAATTCTTTGTACTGAGAGGGCGACGTAGATTTATCTCACCTTGTCAAAGACGAAAGCGCGTCTGGCGTTGTTGCTATACATGTAAAGTTGTAGAGAGTATAAAAAGGAGATGGATACGTTAGTATGTTATCCTTCTCCGTCTCTTGTGAACCTTACATCTGTCCGGGGTGCACGCGCTTGCTTGGACGGTTGGTCCATCCTCGCTCCGTGAAAATCATCGCCAATTGCTGCTGCTAAGCGGGTGCATCGCTACTGCACGCATTTTGAGGGTTATGGGAAGCTTTCTCTTTGAGGATGAGAAGGGTCTGAGTTGGGTTAAGATGTGTTGGGCTGGGTCGGAGGAGACTGGGTTGGAGATGAGTGGAGTGGAGATTGGAGTGGGGTGAATTGGGCTGGACATTTTCAGCTAATTGGGAAAGGTTGGTAATGGATCGCTTAAATGGGTTGAAGAAATCCCAATATGGTCATAAAAAAATTGGAGTTGTCAAAACGTAAACAAAATTATAATCGCAAAATGGTCAAGTGAATTTCCATTAAGGCCAATTAGTGTTCGATTTTAAATCGTATTTGAGCTTAAATGACGACTTCGTTAAATTTCTACATAAGACGAATTTAATATTTAATTAATCTACGAGGTTCTTGATTTTAACATGATAAAAAAGCTAAATCAATTGTAAACTAAGGACTCGAAATATGAGATACTAATTTTGACAAAAATTAATTTAATAAGTAATAAGTAAAACTAAAATCTTTTGAAATGATTTTCGAGTATTTTACATATATATATATACATATGTATATATACATATATATGTACATATATATACATACATATATATTTACATATATATACACATATATATGTACATATATATGTATATATATATATCTATATATATATGTATATATATATGTATATATGTATATATATAGAAGACTAATTAATAAAATTATATTACTAAGAAAAAGGGACTATAGAAATCGATTAACGCTACTTCAAAATGATTTGAAAAAAATTTTCGAATTTTATAAAGTCAACTATTTTAACTTGTTTGGAATTTAAAAAACTCGTAACTTAATTAACATCAGGGAGGGTCAAAAATTAGTGTCAACAAATGTCTCTTATTTTACTTGGATTGATGCAAGAAATTCGAGGAAAACAAAATTGACCAATCCAATTTTGATCGACCACAAATTAATCTCTTGGAAAAAGGACCTGGATGCAGGTTCCTTACATATGTCAAGCTATATGAGAATTCAGATCACTTATAGTTTAAAATGGTTGATTCGATGCACGATTTGAAAGAAATAAAAAGCCATCCCAATACCAAATTATGAAGGATCCGGAATGCTCAAAAATAAGATTAAAGAGTTGATGTTGGAATACAGTACAACTGAGTTTTAAACATCGATCCCGCCTACATATCCTTGAACTTAATGAATCGGGCTGCTTGTAGTTCGGTTCGATCGATTGAAAAGGAAATCCATTATGCTAGTTCGGTTCTGGATGAGTGACAAATTAAGTCGAGTATGAAAAGGAGGCTTGTAACCTCTTATCCATGAATTTGGCATGCTTCACACCCATAATTAAGAACTTACACGAACATAATTCCAAAGCTCTTGCTGTATCGTCACTCAAATTGGAAACTCGCATCTGGTAGATACCAAAATTTCTGGATGCGAGATTGAAACTGACAAAACCTAAAGAAAAACCCACATGCCTTCTGATAGGGGTGTGGTTTGATTGTGGTGGAAGTCGCTCCTCTACTCGCGTCCTAAGGGTTTGAACTCCTCTTTGGACGATGTCCAAGTTCGCTGCTAAGAAAAATTTTCACGTTGTGGTGCATCATTTTTATGTCGTACGCACCTGTCGTAAGTTTTTGGAGAATTCATCCTTCCGGATGCTCTTGACAAAGACTGAGATAAAACTCGTCAGTATAAAAAATGCAATTCAAATGTGAGATAAAGTCTTTTACCGTGTTGACACTTAATTGCTCTCCTTCAACATTTGACGTCAACACAATCAATTTGACGTAAAGCAAATAAAGCTTATATCTTGTACATGCAATATGATCTTTAATGTATTCCTTCAATTGATATCAAAATGAATAAAAGTTGATGCAGTGTTGATACTTCTCCTGGTGTCGTCTTTGATGATTTTCTTGGTGTTACTCTTGCCAAATAAAAATGCAGTTGATGTTGATGGACAAATATCCCTCTTGGGATGCACGACTTACTTCTCTTGCAGTAAATGCTTTCTCTTCCGAAATGCATGACTTTTTCGCGATGCATGAATTTTTTTCAATGCATGACTTCTTCTCCGCAATGCATGAGTTTTCCGCGATGCATAAATATTAATTTGTGATGCATGATTTACTACGATGCATGATTTTTCGCGAGGCATGAATATCTTCTCGCGGTGCATGATTTTTTTGCGAGGCATGACTTTTTGTGGGGCATGGATATATTCCAACGATGCCTGATTTTCTGCTAGGCATGAACATATTCCCGCGATGCATGAATATCGAATAGCGATTGTATGATTTTCCGCGATGCATGAATATTTACTCGCGATGCATGGTTTTCCGTGATGCATGGATATTAACTCGCGATGCTTGAATTTCTGTGATGCATGGATATTAACTCGCGATGCATGGTTTTCCGCAAGGCATGACCTTCTATGAGGCATTGATATCTTCCCACAATGCCTGATATTCTGCGAGGCATGAATATCTTCCCGCGATGCATGAATATCTTCTCGATGCATGAATATCGACTCGCGATTGCATGATTTTCAATGATGCATGATTTCTTGCGATGCATCAATTATCTCTTGATCGACAATACAAATATAATTACCATCTAGGTAGTGTATCATCTTGATCGACAATATAAATATAATGACCCTTTGGGTAGTAATACTATCACGTTTGATAAGATGATGCAGATGACGTCTTCGACGAAAAATCGTAAACTGTCCTTTTTGGGGTTTTCATTCAATCATTTTTGAATCAACCTGGACGCTCCTTATAAATTTCATGTTGTTGGAAGTAGAATGAAATAAAACCATTCATATTCCCAAGTCTTCGATATAAGCAATATAAAATAATTCTTGTATCCACAAAAGAATTTTGAATTTTGGGAGTGCTTTTTTCCTCTTTGACATTTCCATATTCGTCGATCAGAGGAATTTGTTGATTTCAGAGCAAAACTATAAACCTGCGTCCATAGAAAAACGTTAGTTTTAAAAACAAATTGATCTGTGTTGATTTCTTTAGTTGTCTGCTCTTTGTCCTTCTATTTCCAGTTGATTTTCTGCTCTCCCGACTCTTGATAGATAACATAAAATACTTTATGCCAAAACAAATGGAACATAAAGGAAAATTTTAAGAAAATTAAATTTTCGAAGTAGTAGTTTAAACAAGGTTATTGCCAAGTATCATGTCATGTCAGGCTTAGCGAACTTCTTTGAGTCTGATTCTTGGGGGCCTATCTGAACACTCGCTGGGTAGTATCCAGAGTCACTCTATACTGTCGATAACCCATTTGAAATTTTGAGGTCATCCTCAAAATTTGTGTCCCCAGTTAACTAGCTTCGTTCATCTTTAACTGCGGTGAGTAAATCGCAGAATGTTTGAGATTCTCCCAAACATTCTATCCCACTTGCAAGCTATAAAGTTACTTCAGACTCGAATTATTGAGGAAATTCTTCTTCTCGAGAATTTTTGAGTCCCTCTCAAAAATTCTATCTTAGTCTCTATTGCCAAAAAAAATAGAAATCTTATGGGAGATATGATCTAACTCTTGTGGCGCCTACGTAGTTCCCCTCACGGGTCAACAATGATAAGAAATTTATAAAGAAAACCGACCGAGGCTGACATAGGCCTCCTACGTATCTCATTCTTGAAAATTTAGGTCCAACATAGTTCAAATACAAAGAAATATTAAAAAGGGATAAATGGGGTGACCTAGGCCGTCATAGACCGCCTACGTATCTCATTATTTAAAATTCAAGTAAGACGTAGTTCATTTCAAAGAAATATTTAAAAGGGATAAAATTTTAAATAAATCAAATACAAGCAGATAGAACGATTACAAGGAAATAATAGAAATGTAAACTGAAGCTTCACACGTAACATCTCTTGACAGCGTCTGAGTTGATCGGTTTCGGTTATGCGGTGCCATCCATATCCAACAAGACCGAAGCACCTCCAGATAATACCTTGCAAACCATTATGGATCCTTGTCGATTTGGTGCAAATTTCCCTTTGTACTCATCCTGATGAGGAAAAATGCATTGAAGGACCAATTCCAAAAATTCTAGCTCTTACTCTTTTGTGGAAAGCACGAATCATTCTTTGTCGGTATAGTTGACCATGATAGACGACAACCATTTTCTTCTCATGAATCAAAGTTAACTGGTCAATCCCCTTGCTGACCCATTCAGCATTACTCAGTTCATCTTCTTGTATGTTTCTCAAGGACGATATCTCAACTTTAGCAGGTTTGACTGCTTCTGTTCCATACACTAGCAAGTATGGTGTAGCTCCTATCGACGTTCTGACAGTCGTTCGATAATCCAATAAAGCATATGTCAACATTTCATGCCAACCTCGGTGATTGTCACTTATTTTCCTCGGATCTTCTTGATATTTTTATTGGTGGCTCTACAACTCTATTCATTTGAGGACGATAAGCGGTTGAATTTCAATGAGTAATCTCAAAATGCTCACATATGTCTATCATCAAGTAACTATTGAGATTTTCTCCATTGTCAGTAATGATGGATTCTGGTACTCCAAACCTGCATATCAAATTGTTGCGAACAAAATCAACTACATCTTTCTTGGTCGTCGACTTGTACGAAGCTGCTTCCACCCACTTGGTGAAGTAGTCAATGCCAACCAAAATAAATTTGTGTCCATTGGAAGCAGCTAGCTCTATTAGACCAATGACATCCATTCCCCAAGCTACATATGGACAAGGTTAACTCATAGCATTAAGTTCGTGAGACAGCACTCTGATCGAATCTTCGTGCACTTGACATTTATGACATTTCTGCATAAACTTGCACAGTCATGTTCCATGGTCATCCAGAAATAACCAGCTCGAAGGACCTTCCTCGACAAAATGAGTCCATTCATGTGTTAACTACAAACTCCAGCATGTATCTGTTCAATAAGCTTTGCAGCTTTAATAGCATCGACAGACCTGAGAAGACTTAAATCTAGAGTCCTCTTGTAAAGGACTTCTCCACTTAGAAATAATTTGAGAGCCATACGGCGTAACGACTTCTTCTAGTTGGATGTTGCATCTTCAAGATCTCTCCCGGTCTCTAAATACTTTTTTATATCTAAATACCATGGAAACTCGTCTCATTCTACTTCAACATATAAATAATGGACCCGATGTTCTTTCAGCTCTATATCCATCGGACCAATATAATCAG